ACATCCCTACCTCATTGAATTTGCATTTTAAAATGGTTAACGATGAACAGTCATGAAATGTGATGATATTTGGATGAAACCAAATCAAAGTATGATGACCAAAGTATGAAAAATGATTGTTGCTTCTACATTGATCAAGTTTAATCATAAAGTTGCTGGTCAACCCCCATGTCAAACACTTGGATTCAGGAGGAGGAATTATTAAGGGGAAAGGGTGACATCACCCTAACTCTCATTTTAATACACCAATGTTAACATGATATTCTCTTACCTAATTTAATTAAATAAGTACTGCCTTGTAACCAACATCTGAGAAGGTGTGTTTGCAGAGGGGCGTGTTTTATATAGCTAGATAGTTACTCTACTGGTGCCAAAATTTGACTGTAGGGTTTCAGCAAATATAATAAAAATATTTACCCTATTCATCTATGGCAAAGATACTTATATGTTTCCCCTTTCATCTGTGTCTGGTGTTAGCTAGTTACTGGCTAGCTAGGTCTTCAGCTAGCATGGAACAAAAGGGGGGAGGGGTCGTTCAAAACTCTGACGCAGTTGTCATGTCAACACATTCATCAGTGCTGCTGTGAACTGCATCACAAGAGACATGCTAAACGGGAGATGTATAAAAATATTTTTTGACATCATTGATGCAATTTCAATGTTGTTTGAGTTGCTTTGTGTATCACCAAATTTGCTTGAGATGATTTTCCTGCAACACTGCTCACCGCATCCAAGTTTCTTGACATAAGCATTTCAAAGAGCTGTCAGTCAAGGCGAGCTCATTAATATAAGCTCCCTGCCCACTGAGCCTGTCTTTTCAAACTTCCTGGTAGGTAGCCTTGAGAGAAAAAGTACTTTTTCTAAACTTTTGAGCATTTCTATCCCCAGAAAATATTACAGGTGATATTTTAGTCACTCAAAAGGCTATTTTACATGAGAATCAGAAAGACTGTTCTGGACCTTTTAAGGTAAGGGTTAAGTAAGGGTTATGGTTATGGTTAAGAGTAAGGCAGGGCTCTCCAACCCTGTTCTTGGAGAGCTACCGTCCTGTAGGTTTTCGCTCCAACCCTAATCTAGCGCACCTGATTCTAATAATAAGATGGTTGATAAACTGAATCAGGTTAGTTATAACTGGGGGTGGAGCGAAAACCTACAGGAGGGTAGCTCTCCAGGAACAGGGTTGGAGAGCCCTGGGGTAAGGGTTAAGGTTAGGGTTTAGGGTAGGGTCATCACAAGGATTCGAGATAGCACTAACCTTTCTACCTGTCACTGTCAACTGAGAGATTCTCTTTTCAGTAGGCCTATAAGCCTATCCAGTTGTACATAGTGTTTTGAAATCTCTATCAATTGTATTTTCTTGGAACGTAATTTGGTGAGAGAACAGGGGTTGTTAGTAGCATAGTCTAATGTTGCTTTTAATAAAGGATATGGCCTTTATATGGCTAAGCGATGCTACCACTTCTTGACCATCTAAAACAGTGGAATGTCATACAGCTTGTGAGAGCAGGGCCGGCCCTAGGTTTTTGGTGGCCCCCCACCTCACGAGTAACACATTTTAGTGGTACATGTCTTGACGGTGGAGAGAAAACAATGAAGTTTTGAAGTACATTTCCTGCAATTCTATTCATTTTGCGATGGGGCGTAGAGAAAATGTTGTGGTTTTAAAGCACATTTTCTGCAATTCTACACATTTTGCCATTGGTGGAGAGACACAGGTGGAGAGAAAATGTTGCAGTTTTTAAAACTCATTTCATGCTCATTTTTCCGTGGGGCGGAGAGAAACATTTATAGTTTTAAAGCTAATTTCCTGCAATTCTACACATTATGCCATGACTTACGCCATGTTCATATGATATATGAGTGAGAGTTACTAACAAAATCAATGGGGGCCCACTGGAGGTCAGGGCCCCTGGGCACATGCCCTGCGTGCCTGGTCAGTAATTCGGCCATGATTGCTACAAGGTGTAGATAGCTGGCCAGACTAACTTACCAATTTTAACATATATACACTGAACAAAAACATAAAGTAAAGTGTTGATCCCATGTTTCATGAGCTGAAATAAAAGATCCCAGACATTTTCCATACGCACAAAAAGCTTATTTCTCTCCAATTTTGTGCACAAATTTGTTTACTTCCCTCTTAGTGAGCATTTCTCCTTTGCCAAGATAATACATCCACCTGACAGGTGTAGCATATCAATAAGCTGATTAAATAGCATGGTCATTAAACAGGTGCAGCTTGTGCTGGGGACAAAAAAAGGCCACTCTAAAATGTGCAGTTTTGTCACACAACACAAAGCCACAGATGTCTCAAGTTTTGAGGGAACGTGCAATTGGCATTCTGACTGCAGGAATGTCCACCAGAGCTGAATGTTAATTTCTCTACCAACGTCGTTTTAGAGAATTTGGCAGTACGTACAACCAGTCTCAAAACTGCAGACCACATGTAACCACGCCAGCCCAGGACCTCCACATCCGGCTTCTTCACCTACAGGATCATCTGAGACCAGCCACTCGGACAGCTGAGGAAACTGTGGGTTCTCACAACTAAATAATTTCTGCACAAACTGTCAGAAACCGTCTAAGGGAAGCTCATCTGCGTGCTGGTCATCCTCACCAGGGTCTTGACCTGACTGCAGTTCGGCGTCATAACCGACTTCAGTGGGAAAATGCTCACCTTCGATGGCCACTGGCACGCTGGAGAAGTGTGCTCTTCACGGGTAAATCCCAGTTTCAACTGTACAGTGCAGATGGCAGACAGTGTGTATGGCGTCGTGTGGGCGAGCGGTTTGCTGATGTCAACGTTGTGAACAGAGTGCCCCATGGTGGCGTTGGGGTTATGGTATGGTCAGGCATAAGCTATGGACAACAAACACAATTGCATTTTATCGATGGCAATTTGAATGCACAGAGATACCGTGACGAGATCCTGAGGCCCATTGTCGTGCCATTTAACCGCCGCCATCACCTCATGTTTCAGAATGATAATGCACGGCCCCATGTCGCAAGGATCTGTACATAATTTCTGGAAGCTGAAAATGTCCCAGTTCTTTCATGGCCTGCATACTAACCAGACATGTCACTCATTAAGCATGTTTGGGATGCTCTGGATTGACGTGTATGACAGTATGTTCCAGTTCCCACCAATATCCAGCAACTTCGCATTGCCATTGAAGAGGACTGGGACAACATTCCACAGGCCACAATCAATAGCCGGATCAACTCCATGTGAAGGAGATTTGTCGCACTGCATGAGGCAAATGGTGGTCACACCAGATACTGATTGGTTTTCTGATCCACACCCCTAATTTATTTTTAAAGATATCTGTGCCCAACAGATGCATATTTGTATTCCCAGTCATGTGGAATCCATAGATTAGGGCCTAATACATTAATTTCAATTGACTGATTTCCTTTTATGAACGGTAAAATCTTTGAAATTATTGCATGTTGCGTTTATATCTTTGTCATGGGCTAGTTGATTGACTGTCAGTGACTGACAATACAAGAGAAAAACTACTGATGCACTATCAAATTTCGAACTTGCACCCTCCCCAGTGGTGCAGTGGTCTAAGGCACTGCATTGCAGTGCTAGCTGTGCCACTAGAGATCCTGGTTTGAATCCAGGCTCTGTCGTAGCCGGCCGTGACCGGGAGACCCATGGGGCGGCGCGCAATTGGCCCGGCGTCGTCCAGGGTAGGGGAGGGAATGGCCGGCAGGGATGTTGGTAGAGTATGGCGTTTGCAACGCCAGGGTTGTGGGTTCGATTCCCACGGGGGGCCAGTATGAAAAAAATATATAATGTATGCACTCACTAACTGTAAGTCGCTCTGGATAAGAGCGTCTGCTAAATGACTAAAATGTAAAAATGTGTATTCTACTATTTTAACTCTCAACAGTAAAATGAGACCCCGACTTGAGTTCCTTATGCCTAGGGCCGACCCTGTGTGAGAGGCCATGTGATTGTTAAGTGAATGAGATATGGCCATCAACACAAGGACAAGGTATCACACCAGGCCAGTAAAAAACAGAACCAACAGAACCAAAGAGCTAGCTACTGTATAACCAAAGGACACATACGTAGATCCATAGTTGTACAGGCATACCAATAAATAATTGTTTCCCAGTTTTCTATGATAACTACTGTACATCACATTGCTATTCTATCAAAGAAAAACAGATATGTCAATCATATGAAAGGAACCACAATATCCATTAGAAAATTTTGTAAAATGTGTAAAATGAATATCCCAAGTTTCTTCTGAAAATGCTTGTGAAAAAACACTATGAAAAAGGTGCTGTCTAACAGCACGAACAACGACAAACAGGTGAATTACATACTGTAATTGTTCATTTATTTATTTAATATTACATAGTGAATAAGTAACTGTGCTGAAAATAACCTTGGCAGTGATTTAGATCGTAATAACATACACAACCATCACTACAAGCCAAATCTCTAGCTCCCATTAAAACCTGCTCCATCTACAGTATTTTCATTACGTCATTAAAAACACTTCTGCATTTTACACCATTTTCCTATGTCTGTATGAGGATCCATATTTAGAAAAGTTGTTAAAAAATATAAGGTTAAAAACTTTACTGTAGATATATCCATTGGATGAGGTCCAATTTGGAATATAACTGATCTATTCCTTTAATTTCCTATAATACATTTCTTTCAAGGTCTGTTACCATGTATGGCAAAGACTGGCAAACACTTGAAGGAATTACAATCTAGGTAATAACTACTGTAAATGTAGTCAAAAATGTATAACTGGATCTGTGTGTAAATGATTACATAAACACACATGTTAAACTGTAACAAGAGTTTCCATATTGAAGGAGGAAAATTATGTTTTTAGCTAAATCTCATGAAAAAAATAGTAGGCTTGCACAGTACACAGCAGACGGTGTGAACGGGACATAGTGTGTGGCAGTATTTCATGATTTGAGGTAAAAGGCGGAGGAGAATCCGCTGGAGAGATGGAGGTTGACTTTCACTTTTGCACACCTGGGTCACTGTCGTCCCGCTCGTAGCTGATTGGCTGCAGTTGCTGTACAATGTAACTGGCCATCTCGTGGGTTCCTGCAGCGACCACTCTTCGGGACATGAGGTCGAGAGGACCCCCTGGAAAAGAAAAACACACGTATGTTATGTAACTCCAACATCCATCCAATCACACTCATATAACCACATATTCAAATAAACTATAAATAAATACATTAATCAGTCCTAACCCTCACCACCAAAAGACTCCCCACTAACAAAATAAACAACTAAATGAACTATTTCAATCACATTTCCATTCAGGCACCATGGCGACCCACTACTAGACTATTGGAACTGGTTGAAAGGTTGAATGGAGTCTTCTCCAACAGTACAGGGAAGGAGCTGATAGCTTGGCTTTGCCTGGCCTCAGAGGGCCCTTGTTCTCTCTGGGCTGCCAGAGACTGAGGCAGCACACACAGTAGCTGACCACATGATCCTGACCTCACGCCCAAACCAGTCCCTCAGACTCTCCACAGTGGTCCTTTTGTGCAACAACCTGGGCCTGGGGAAGAAGAGATGAACGAGGTGGGCAGCCAGCCACTTTTTCAGCCGGATATCAAGCTCAGCCTCACAAAGGCTTCGGAAGTCCATTCACTCATACAGTATCACTCAAGGGATAGCAGCCATTGTGTGAAATACAATAAATTCTGGATTCTCTTTTTAAAAGTTATTGCGTCCATCACAATAATGACAGCCTATAAGAACTGCTTTAATCATACTCTAGGAACTTTTCCATAATAACAGCATGCATTCTTTGCATTCTGTGGGGCCTCAATAGTTATTTGGTCAAGTGAAAGCTAATATATCCATCTCATCTCTGCCTCCTCCAGGAGAACCGTACAGCTGAGAGCTCAGTTTGACACCAGTAACAGAGGACAGACAGGACAAATTATTTAAACAAACATTGACTGCTTGTGAAACCGATCCCTATCCCCCATCAACCATCACTGACTGGCAGTAACATATTCTATTCTATTCTAGAACCCCCACCTGAGGTGTCTATGACGACTCCCCCGGCCTCTCGGATGATGACAGCGGCGGCGGCGATGTCCCAGCAGTGCAGGCCGTACTGGTAATAGGCCTCAGCCGCGCCCGTGGCTATCAGACACAGGGCCAGGGTGGAGCTGCCGATGATCCTCACCCTGGAACACAAGGAGTAGCCTAGGGCCGTATGTATCAAGCGTCTCAGAGTAAGAGTGCTGATCTAAGATCAGGTTCCCTCTGCCCATGTAATCTTATTCAATGTTATCTAAAAGGCTAAACTGATCCTAAACCAGCACTCCTACTCTGAGACATTTGAAATGTACGGCCCCTGGTCCCAGATCTGTTTGTGACAATGGCCATAGGAGTTGGCGAGAAAGCACAAACAGATCTGGGACCGGCTATTCAAGGAAAGTCTAGGGCCAAAATACATCACTGTATTGACATTGGATCGTAAAGGCACAGACTAGAGCGTGCCACATATACCCTGATGTGAGGCCCATTAGACCCGGCTCATGTTCATTAGGGAACACAACGAAAAACAAACCGTCAGTGCGTACCCATGAGCTGGTGCACTCAGTAACTTCATGATGTTCCCTGAGAAGATGTTCAGTGTTGCTGGGTCTCGCTTGGCTCCGATCTCAGTCAAAATGAGCGCCTTGGAGACATCTAACAGTCATTGGGAATAGAAAAACAGCTTTAGATTAGGATAATGGATACAGTACATGTATAGAAACTTAATTTGATCACTCTTTTGTTCCTGCACTGCAGGAGACGAGCTTCCCGATTTACATAAATTCACTGAAAACCCACACTAACACACGGTTATATGAACAGTATTGCACATTTCATGTAGTCTACTTTTGGCGAAGTAAATAGCCTTACCACCGATCAAGCAATATTATAGACTAAATGTTTGAATCCTTTTGCTGCAGGATTATTTTGCTGTGACAATATAGGCCAAATTAAGATTCTATATCTGTACATTTTAGTAAACCAATAAAAAAAAAATACATTAATTAATCAATTAAGTTAACTTTTGATAATTCTGCATGGTACAATGTTTGAGTTGCTTCCCTTGCTAGTTTAACACATTACAACCACTATGAAAATGTGGGTGTGTCACACAAAACAAGAGGGAGAAGTTGACTTACCTTTTTCCTTTGATACTTGGATCCTTACACCATTGCAAAATGCCCCGTGGCCTTTTCTAGCTGTGTATAATGTTCCATCGAAGCAATGGTATATCACTCCAAACTCAAGCTACATTAGAAAACAAATGAATACCCTTTTAATTATGATAATATTTTCAACTTTATCAATTCTGTTTACGCACATTTCTCATGCTTACCTCTTTCTTCACAGCGAAACCAATGCTAACTGCAACCATGGGGAAACTGAAAAAATCAAGTACATCATCAGTAAATCATCTTTGGTGATACTATTATATCGATGACAGAGCATTCATCTTTAATTTTTTATTAACAACTATGTTCTCTTGATTTCAACATGTATAGTTCCAAATCCCTAATCTGAGGAAATGGCTGTCGGGTATATATTTCTGTAGGAAACTGTATTGTACTTGTGAACAAAGTTGCAGGTCCCATCGATAGGGTCTATGATCCAGGATGGGCTGTCTGTGAGGATGCACTTCTCCCCAGCTGCAGACGACTCCTCTCCAATGAACCTGTCAGGTCACAATTTACAGTGAGTGAGTACCTTGATTCACGTAACAATAATGTCTTTGCATACACCATGGCTGTAAGGAACCACCATTCACTACCACTCAGCAGTGTCAGGATGAGATGCCTAAATTCACTGGTGTGTTAAAATGCTTCAAGTCACAAAGCAAAGTTAGCTATTAGCTTACTAACCCTTACAAGGAGATTATTTTTGATGATTCAGTTTACCATCACTCGCTTGTGAAGAGAGAAGCCAACAAACACTAACTATTCTTTGGCCCATTCCATTTAAGCGCCTAGTGTCATACCCTGATCTGTTTCACCTGTCTTTGTGCTTGTCTCCACCCCCCTCCAGGTGTCGCCCATCTTCCCCATGATCCCCTGTGCATTTATACCTGTGTTCTCTGCTTGTCTGTTGCCAGTTCATCTTGTCAGGTCAGGTCTTACCAGCGTGCTTTCTCGTCTTCCTGTTTCCTAGTTTCCCCGGTTCTGACCATTCTGCCTGCCCTGACCCTGAGCCTGCCTGCCGTTCTGTACCTGCCTGACTCTGACCCGATTACGAACCTCTGCCTGCCCTGACCCCGAGCCTGCCTGCCGTTCTGTACCTTACTGACTCTGCCCTGGATTACGAACCTCTGCCTGCCCTTGGCCTGTCTTTTGCCTGCCCCCTGTTTGGTCAATAAACATCTGTGATTGTAGCAGTCTGCATCTGGGTCTTATCCTGAGTTCTGATACCTAGATAATACCCCTGGACCCTATTTCTTCAGAATCCACAGATCTGAATGGACTGGGAAGCATATTGTCAATATAGTGATGGCTACATGGCTGTGGCTCCACGTAGCCCTCCAATACTGCTAACACTTATCCAGTAAATGCAGAGATCTTTCAGATCTGTAAACGCAGAGGGACTAGGTTAAGGGGCTAGCTAGGGGCCAAAATGGAACCACCCCTGTGTTGGGAAGATACCATTGGCATACATGTTTGAATACATCATTGGAAGATACCATTGCGTACCTGTGTGAGGGGAACTTGTCCCTGAGGGTGGAGATGATGAGCTCTTCCACCTGCTGGTCGGCCTCCGTCACCAGGTCAGTTGGAGTGCTCTTTGTGCTCACACTCTTCTCATGTTTCACTGCCTCCTGCACTACCTGGAGGGGGCGGGAACAAGTAACATATAACACACACCACCAATATTCAAGACTGGGAATCAGGACTGTATTTTACATACAGTACATGGGCTTTCCAAGTAGTTTTGGGGGGTAATCCCGGTTTATACAGTATCAATATATTAATGAATAGGCCTATTTTGAAGGTTATAAGTTTTACTAGTCCTACTTTTTTAAAGAGATATCACCGCTGTGAATCATATACGTAACAATGTGTACTGCATAGTCAGTGTAGTCAGCTCAGCCATACCCATTGAGACTGTGTCTGTGCCTCGACCTAGGTTGGGCAAAACTAAACATGGCGGTGTTCACCCTAGCAATCTTATTAGGATAAAGACCTCCTCCATTCCTGCCATTATTGAAAGAGATCGTGATACCTCACATCTCAAAATAGGGTTACTTAATGTTAGATCCCTCACTTCAAAGGCAGTCATAGTCAATGAACTAATCACTGATCATAATCTTGATGTGATTGGCCTGACTGAAACATGGCTTAAGCCTGATGAATTTGCTGTGTTAAATGAGGCCTCACCTCCTGGTTACACTAGTGACCATATTCCCCGTGCATCCCGCAAAGGCGGAGGTGTTGCTAACATTTACGATAGCAAATTTCAATTTACAAAAAAAAAAATGGCGTTTTCATCTTTTGAGCTTCTAGTCATGAAATCTATGCAGCCTACTCAATCACTTTTTATAGCTACTGTTTACAGGCCTCCTGGGCCATATACAGCGTTCCTCTCTGAGTTTCCTGAATTCCTATCAGACCTTGTAGTCATAGCAGATCATATTCTAATTTTTGGTGATTTTAATATTCACATGGAGAAGTCCACAGACCCACTCCAAAAGTCTTTCGGAGCCATCATCGACTCAGTGGGTTTTGTCCAACATGTCTCTGGACCTACTCACTGCCACAGTCATACTCTGGACCTAGTTTTGTCCCATGGAATAAATGTTGTAGATCTTAATGTTTTTCCACAAAATCCTGGACTATCGGACCACCATTTTATTACGTTTGCAATCGCAACAAATAATCTGCTCAGACCCCAACCAAGGAGCATCAAAAGTCGTGCTATAAATTCTCAGACAACACAAAAATTCCTTGATGCCCTTCCAGACTCCTTCTGCCTACCCAAGGATGTCAGAGGACAAAAATCAGTTAACCACTTAACTGAGGAACTCAATTTAACCTTGCGCAATACCCTAGATGCAGTTGCACCCCTAAAAACGAAAAACATTTGTCATAAGAAACTAGCTCCCTGGTATACAGAAAATACCCGAGCTTTGAAGCAAGCTTCCAGGAAATTGGAACGGAAATGGCGCCACACCAAACTGGAAGTCTTCCGACTAGCTTGGAAAGACAGTACCGTGCAGTACCGAAGAGCCCTCACTGCTGCTCGATCATCCTACTTTTCCAACTTAATCGAGGAAAATAAGAATAATCCAAAATTTCTTTTTGATACTGTTGCAAAGCTAACTAAAAAGCAGCATTCCCCAAGAGAGGATGGCTTTCACTTCAGCAGTAATAAATTCATGAACTTCTTTGAGGAAAAGATCATGACCATTAGAAAGCAAATTACGGACTCCTCTTTGAATCTGCGTATTCCTCCAGGGCTTAGCTGTCCTGGATCTGCACAGCTCTGCGAGGGCCTGGGATCGGGAGAGACACTTAAGTGTTTTAGTACTATATCTCTTGACACAATGATGAAAATAATCATGGCCTCTAAACCTTCAAGCTGCATACTGGATCCTATTCCTACTAAACTGCTGAAGGAGCTGCTTCCTGTGCTTGGCCCTCCTATGTTGAACATAATAAACAGCTCTCTATCCACCGGATGTGTACCAAACTCACTAAAAGTGGCAGTGATAAAGCCTCTCTTGAAAAAGCCAAACCTTGACCCGGAAAATATAAAAAACTATCGGCCTATATCGAATCTTCCATTCCTCTCAAAAATTTTAGAAAAAGCTGTTGCGCAGCAACTCACTGCCTTTCTGAAGACAAACAATGTATACGAAATGCTTCAGTCTGGTTTTAGACCCCATCATAGCACTGAGACTGCACTTGTGAAGGTGGTAAATGACCTTTTAATGGCGTCAGACCGAGGCTCTGCATCTGTCCTCGTGCTACTAGACCTTAGTGCTGCCTTTGACACCATCGATCACCACATTCTTTTGGAGAGACTGGAAACCCAAATTGGTCTACACGGACAAGTTCTGGCCTGGTTTAGATCTTACCTGTCGGAAAGATATCAGTTTGTCTCTGTGAATGGTCTGTCCTCCGACAAATCAACTGTACATTTCGGTGTTCCTCAAGGTTCCGTTTTAGGACCACTATTGTTTTCACTATATATTTTACCTCTTGGGGATGTTATTCGAAAACATAATGTTAACTTTCACTGCTATGCGGATGACACACAGCTGTACATTTCAATGAAACATGGTGAAGCCCCAAAATTGCCCTCGCTAGAAGCCTGTGTTTCAGACATAAGGAAGTGGATGGCTGAAAACTTTTTACTTTTAAACTCGGACAAAACAGAGATGCTTGTTCTAGGTCCCAAGAAACAAAGAGATCTTCTGTTAAATCTGACAATTCATCTTGATGGTTGTAAAGTCGTCTCAAATAAAACTGTGAAGGACCTCGGCGTTACTCTTGACCCTGATCTCTCTTTTGACGAACATATCAAGACTGTTTCAAGGACAGCTTTTTTCCATCTACGTAACATTGCAAAAATCAGAAATTTTCTGTCCAAAAATGATGCAGAAAAATTAATCCATGCATTTGTTACTTCTAGGTTAGACTACTGCAATGCTCTATTTTCCGGCTACCCGGATAAAGCACTAAATAAACTTCAGTTAGTGCTAAATACGGCTGCTAGAATCCTGACTAGAACCAAGAAATTTGATCATATTACTCCAGTGCTAGCTTCCCTACACTGGCTTCCTGTTAAGGCAAGGGCTGATTTCAAGGTTTTACTGTTAACCTATAAAGCGTTACATGGGCTTGCTCCTACCTATCTTTCCGAGTTGGTCCTGCCGTACATACCAATACGTACGCTACGGTCACAAGACGCAGGCCTCCTAATTGTCCCTAGAATTTCTAAGCAAACAGCGGGAGGCAGGGCTTTCTCCTATAGATCTCCATTTTTATGGAACAGTCTGCCTACCCATGTGAGAGACGCAGACTCGGTCTCAACCTTTAAGTCTTTACTGAAGACTTATCTCTTCAGTAGGTCATATGATTGAGTGTAGTCTGGCCCAGGAGTGTGAAGGTGAACGGAAAGGCTCTGGAGCAACGAACAGCCCTTGCTGTCTCTGCCGGGCCGGTTCCCCTCTCCACTGGGGTTCTCTGCCTCTAACCCTGTTGCAGGGGCTGAGTCACTGGCTTGCTGGTGCTCTTTCATGCCGTCCCTGGGAGGGGTGCGTCACTTGAGTGGGTTGAGTTACTGACGTGATCTTCCTGTCTGGGTTGGCGCCCCCCCTTGGTTTGTGCTGTGGTGGAGACCTCTGTGGGCTATACTCGGCCTTGTCTCAGGATTGTAAGTTGGTGGTTGAGGATATCCCTCTAGTGGTGCGGGGGCTGTGCTTTGGCAGAGTGGGTGGGGTTATATCCTTCCTGTTTGGCCCTGTCCGGGGGTTTCTTCGGATGGGGCCACAGTGTCTCCGGACCGCTCCTGTCTCAGCCTCCAGTATTTATGCTGCAGTAGTTTATGTGTCGGGGGGCTGGGGTTAGTTGGTTATACCTGGAGTACTTCTCCTGTCTTATCCAGTGTCCTGTGTGAATTTAAGTATGCTCTCTCTAATTCTCTCGTTCTCTCTTTCTCTCTGAGAACTCGGTCCTCTGTAGCTCAGCTGGTAGAGCACGGCACTTGTAATGCCAAGGTAGTGGGTTCGATCCCCGGGACCACCCATACACAAAAATGTATGCACACATGACTGTAAGTCGCTTTGGATAAAAGCGTCTGCTAAATGGCATATTTATTTATTTTATTTAGAACCTGAGCCCTAGGACCATACGTCAGGACTACCGGGCATGATGACACCTTGCTGTCCCCAGTCCGCCTGGCCTTGCTGCTATTCCAGTTTCAACTGTTCTGCCTGCGGTTACGAAACCCCTACCTGTCCCAGACCTGCTGTTTTCAACTCTTAATGATCGGCTATGAAAAGCCAACTGAGAGACCTGAGCCCTAGGACCATACGTCGGGACTACCGGCCGTGGTGACTCCTTGCTGTCCCCAGTCCGCCTGGCCTTGCTGCTATTCCAGTTTCAACTGTTCTGCCTGCGGTTATGGAACCCCTACCTGTCCCAGACCTGCTGTTTTCAACTCTTAATGATCGGCTATGAAAAGCCAACTGAGATTTATTCCTGATTATTATTTGACCATGCTTGTCACTTATGAACATTTTTGAACATCTTGGCATGGTTCTGTTATAATCTTCACCCGGCACAGCCAGAAGAGGACTGGCCACCCCTCATAGCCTGGTTCCTCTCTAGGTTTCTTCCTAGGTTTTCGCCTTTCTAGGGAGTTTTTCCTAGCCACCGTGCTTCTACACCTGCATTACTAGCTGTTTGGGGTTTTTAGGCTGGGTTTCTGTACAGCACTTTGAGATATTAGCTGATGTAAGAAGGGCTATATAAAATAAAATTGATTGATTGATTGATTACTGGGGCGGCAGGTAGCTTAGTGGGTAAGAGCGTTGTGCCAGTAACCGAAAGGTTGCTGGTTCTAATCCCCGAGCCGACTAGGTGAAAAATCTGTCGATGTGCCCTTAAGCAAGGCACTTAACCCTAATTGCTCCTGTAAGTCGCTCTGGATAAGAGCGTCTGCTAAATGACTGAAATGTAATGTACCTACACTGTAATTACACTGTACCTATAACTACAGTACCACAAAAACGTGGTCTTAGGGCCACTTCACATAAAGTGAGCCCGGTTATCTTGTCCACTGTTACAATATTTGCTTTGGTCTGCCTGACTAAACAGGATAGGAAGATAGGAGTGGCAAGTTCTGCCAACCTCAACGTGTCAACTCGGTGAGGCATAGCAGGTCATGAACATGCGCGGTGTCTAAAGTATAGCCCAATCGGCCGGCAGATGGCGCTATTATTCCTTTTACATCGTTTGAACGACGTAAATGGAATAATAGCGCCATCTGCCGGCCGATTGGGCTATCTAAAGTAAAGCGCAATAGGTAAACTTACAAGTATGCATCAGTGTGCTATGATAAATAGTCTGAACTGTATTGAAATGATTAGACACTTCTTGAAATACAGTGTTACCATGTAGGTAAAAAAAATCAATATTTTCATAATAGGTCTGTGGGGCTAAATATCCCCTCCACGTCCTCAAAACATTGTAGCCTTCGAAATGTAGGCAGGTTAGAAACATTTTAGCCAGGTTAGAAACCTTGTAGCCAGGTTTGCAAAAATATAAGATGTCGTTACCTGCATAAAAAACGTTACAAAGAGCAACATAGAGACATCATGGAATTGATGGATGTCGGCGCCCTTGACTTACCTTGCCAGCTCTACATGCAACTTCTACAGCAACATCCATGCACTCCCCCCAGCACTTGTCGCTGTCCGAGGTTGTCATTTTATAATGAGGAGCAGATGCTATTGTTTTGCCGTTTACAGTACCTTATTTCAGACATCCAAGAGTCAGCAAATGATAACCTATTATGTGGCTTGCGTGCGGTGTAGGCTACGGTCTCTGGTATTGTCCCGTTATGGCCGGTGTACGCTGTCGACCTACTCGGTGCTGTAGACGGGTGCTCTCGCCTCCACTGTCCTGCTATTGAGTGGATTTGTGCGGCCTACATGTCCGACCTTCGATACAACAACGTTTGGAAATAATGTAAGATTCTACGTCGGATGCGAAGGACCTTGATAGGCGTAAAACTAATGTCTAAAATCGTCCCGTCAACGTTGATGAGACATGACCAGTCTGGGTGGAACTAGATAAAAGCAACTCCATATTATTGGTAGCCATTGTCAACCTGTAGCCTATAAATAAATCAAAGAAATAACATTTGGCGAGGAAAACTCTTGATTAAACAAGATTGTATTTTACGTATTTAACTAAAGTTAGCCCGGCACGTAAAATGAAATATCTTGCAGGTAAACACGATTTATCCAGAAGAGGACGAAAGACGCATTCTTATACAGTGATGATGAAAGAGATGCGGCGGTGAGAAAGCTAAGCGGAATTACCACTGCACCATGTGATCATGTCTGGCATGCTGTCGCCGCCGCTCTTACTTGCAACAATCTTTTGCTAGAGGGATAGCCTACAATTGTATCCACGACCAAGAATGTATCCTAGCCTAGTAGACTGCATTACATTTGTGCTTGAAGAGCAAAGTGAGGTCTCTCAATGCACCGAAAATATTTAGTCTATGTGCATTCGGAAAGTATTCAGACCTCTTTACTTTTTCCACATTTTGTTACTGTCGTATATGATGAATGGTGGTAATATTGCTGATGAACAAAAAGTCCGTTATGCTGCATCGTGTCAGAAGTTTTTATTCATACCACGAGGTTACAGCATAAATTCACAGACACGCGTTGCCTGGAGAACGCCTCCCAGATTGTTATGGCCGTTCTGTCGTCTCATCGTTTAACTCCTATTTATAAACAATGCAAAGGGAGGGGCTACTCCCTCTTCTGGCCAATCACCAGTCTCCCCTCGGGCGTCACCCTCCAAGCGGCACATTTCAAATAACATCATAAAACATCCCCCCTTTGGCCTGAACAACCAACATTCCATTTCGTCATGAAAAACATTTAACAAAGGCATAATCTTCAGATACGATATTCCCCCCCTTTCGAGACGAAATAAACGTCTCGAAAACAAACAGAATAAGATTATGACTATTAACCATTTATCTCATTGAATATTCTTAACCTTAAACCCAAAAACATTATCCTCTAGAGTGTAAATACCTTTCTATGAAATACCTGTTTATGAAGTGTGAATACATTACTATGACCCATGAAGAAATCTCTATGGAGTATAAATACATTACTATGACATATGAACAACTGTTTATGAAGTATGAACACATTACTATGAATTATGAATAAATCTCTATGGAGTGTGAGAGCGAAAAACTGTCCAGCAGCCATCCATCCATATCAATCAAGACAGTAAAATTCTCTCACCGTCCCTCTGCCCCAGGCAACCACCGTCGGTACTCCAGATAACCTCATAACTCATGTAAATGCATTTGAAACTATGATGTAATTAAATACCCATGTAAACAAAATCCTATCCATAAATATCCACTCTCAGGCTGGTCAACCCATAGGACCTGAAAGGGAATCTCTCCCTGCTTAAACATTCTGTCCCTAACCCCATCGAAATAAACAAAAGCATCTACGATCCTCATCTGCATTCAATAACATCAAACATAATTCTACTAAAATCAATACCTAAGAATATGACACAATTATGTATTACACATCAAATATGTCTATATTTCATTGCAGACACTGGAATGTAGTCCACTACACTTCCTCTTCCTGTAGTGTCCTCTTCCAATGGACTTGTTGATGATGGAATCAGCCACACCATCCTTGTTTCCTCTCCTCCAGTCATATTGTCTTTGTTTGAGTATTCCAATCTCCACATGCTTCTCCCACATGCTTCTGGAATGACAAGAAAATAAACGACCAAACAGTATCCTTTGCAAAACAACCACTTTCAAATTAAACCTCCATTTCACCTAAGAATTTAAAAAAATGATACATAAATGATGCATGAATCACATTATCCATTCCCCCCTTTGATTCATAAATCACACTAAAAATCATACTAATATTGAAAAACCAATTTGAAAAATCATAAAATAATCCAAAATGATATTTATCCATTCAGTAGTCCATCTAGACCCCCTCGTCCGTCTTCGTCCAGATCCGGAACAGTCAACACCGGCATCTGAGTGTTGTCTCCAGGCACCACTTCTCCAACCTATCTCAATCTCATAACTTTCTCAAAAGTCAGTACAAACATCACACAGTGTTATCAAAGCTTAAACTACTAGAATCTGACCCATCACTGCCCCTACTGGCCTAATTAATCTTGCAACCAAATCCTTTCAAATGCTTCCCTTATATTATCTAAACTATCTGGACTCACAGGAATACACTAATATTTATCAATATTATCTTCCCAAATGTTACACCATACCATGAATGAAGTCCCCCCTTCTCCCTTAAACTTATTCTTCAATGATAGGCTTGAAGACTATGACATGTCGCCATGTGTCTGCTAAATGACTGAAATGTAAATGTAATGTCACCCTTTTAACCCTAGATTTAGCTGTGTCCAATGCTATCCCTCTTATAATGGTAAAACCTCATATGGAATCTTCAACGTTGACCTGTAACAACATCCTATCCCCCATAGGGTAAGAATATACTCTATCATAATTTCCCCTTATCCTCTAAAATTCCCATAGTCACATTGTCAGTCAAAAGCTAATCTTTTAACCATCAAAGTCCTGCTCTTCTTACTACCTGATATATAAAAAGTAACCTATTATTTGTCATTACTACCCTTAAGGTCATGCTTATCCAAAGTTATCATCTAACATCCCAATCTGATCTTTCCATAAACATACCCCTTACCTCATATGTTTTATTAGAACAAACACAACTTTTAGCCCTCAATATTTCACCTGAATACTTCAGGGTTTGCAATTACCTGATTTTACTTTCCCTCTAACCAATGCTCATAGGGTAATCTTTTCACCCAAGAACACTTAAACCCTACTAGTCTGACAACTACATTATTTTATCGGTCAATGACTGTTGCCGATACCACAGTCATGACAAAGCATAACATTTACCCACACCCGTCAGAGGCCGCGCGACCGTCTAACACGTCTTGGGCTGGCATCCCCAACAGACATCAACCCTCAAGATTCCTCACTGACCCTACAGAATGAGTTAATCTATCTCTAATTTTCACAACAGAGGAACGAGCAGCACTGATCAGATGCCCCCCCCCCTCTGTCATCAAAATCAAAAGACCCCATACTGCAGCTTCCATGATGAATCTCTATTCTCCATTTCAGATTAATCTATATTGTTTCTATCTGCTCTATTTTAACCCCATTCGTACCATAACCTCCTGAGTCCCTCTTGCTACCTCTTTAATTTCAGAACAATTGTTGTCAGTATCCTACTCCTATATTTGCTATTGCCATAGTATCATTAATCCCTTCCAAAGTTACCCTTAAAGTAGTTGATTTAGCTGCTGTATCAACCCTAATTACTTCTAGTGCAAAATTTCCCATTATCCTCTGTGTATTATCTACTGTTGGAGTGACTACTGTCCATTCAGTTCTACTCCTCCTGAACTCCCTCAATGACTGTGAAAACTTCCACAGACTTCAAATCTTCCATTATAAGCGTTACTTTATGAATTACATTGCCCTTTAACCAATAATTCCTAACCGAAACAAATTCTAATGCTTGCCCTAAATAAGTACACATATATTCTCCCTAACCTTTCTCTATAATATTACGCAACATAAGTGAACAGTCACTCCTAACCCTATTCCAAACTATACCTCCTTCTACTCCTGGTCCTGATAACAATACTTATTCTCCATATTTATCTCTCCATATGAGAGAAACGTCCCCATCTTAAACCCTAATAAGTATTTTCCCCCCCAAAATTGGTGCTGTACTGGTTCCCTTATAATCAAATGCAATATGTTTATGACTTTAATACCTATCAATGTTGAAAGAGTTAAATTGCTTCTCCCTGTTGTTCTAATAAACTGAAGTGTTAATGTCCTTATTTACTCCTAGTTTTCCCATAAGACTTTGAACTCCTTCCTTGTACTTCCATCTATCACCCCTAGTGTCACTTTTTCCCCCTTTCAGTTCTACCTCTAAACTTTAAACCTCCTGATTATAACAAAATACACCTATAATGACCTTGATCTCCCTACTGGACAGTGTCATTCATTACTGTTCTCTCTCTGTCTTACTACTAACTTTGAAACTTAGCTTACTGTCTCAGAGTCCCTTCAACCTAGCCTACCCCTAACTTATTTTAATCTAATCTTTTCTCTCATAACATTTAAAACCTTTTCCCCTGATCTATTGACAAAATCTCTTACCACCAAATTTTTAGAATATGTGATTGGGAAAGTTCCCCACCTGCTTCTGACTCATTACACACAGACTTGGCAAAACCGACTAAACACCTTTTAGCCTAACCTCAAATCTCTTAGTGTAAGAATGTAACCCAAAATAACAGTCACCCCTATTAAGTTTTTTCCCAGACAGATTGTCTAACAGGCAATCTAATACATTATCATCCTTCCTATGATATTTATCTTTTAAGCAAATGACTCCCCAAAAACCCTACTTCTTAAAATAGTCTCCCAGACAGTCAGTCGTCTATTGTGCCTCTGATTGAATACTTCAATTTACACCATGCATCTCTTCCCAACACTGCCATAACAGCATCTTCTAATATTAGTATGTCTCTTTTACTTCCTCTTTGACTTTTATAGCAGAGCTCAATTGATTCCCTAAGAGTAATTAAACTATTTTACTACTTCCAATCCCTATCCTAACCTAATTAGTTTATTTTACAGAGTGATATGTTTAACCTTTTTAGACTGAACCCCGATAAGTTTTTCCCCTATTCACTATCACTTCTAATGGTCAGTTGTTTCAACTGTTAGCTATTTCCTCTTCTTCTCTAATCGATGCTCTCAGCAATGCACCCCCCTTCATCTCTTCTAGAACAGGTGATCTTCACTTTCTCCTTCATCTTCCTTAAAAATGTTCTCCGTTCTTCCTCCTAACTTGTTGCATGAACAGGTAAAGTACCCAATCTGTCCATAATTATACTAGTCTTCTGAAAGTTGCTGAAAGTGTAGCTGAAATATTCCTCCTTCTTTGTTCTTCTCCCTCTCAAATTCTTTGTCTG